ATAAAAAATTAGCTGGGCGTGGTAGTGCACGCCTGTAGTTCTGGCTACTTGGAAGGCTGAAGTGGAAAGATCGCCGGAGCCCAGCAGGTCGAGGCTGTGGTGGTCGTGCGTGTGCCCCTGCCCTCCAGCCTGGGTGGCAGAGTGAGACTCTGACTCAAAAAACCCGCAAAGGCGGGGCTGCCCTGGCCGTGGCTCCCAAGAGCCCTTGGCTGTGCTTACGGCCACGGCGGCGTGGTAGCTGGTCCCGCAGCCGATGACGATGAGCCGTCGGCACCGCCGTATCTCCTTCAGGTGGTCCTTCAGGCCTCCCAGGAGCACTGCGGGCACATGGCAGGCGTGAGGCCGGCATCCCCCCAGGCCCAGGCCCAGCCCCAGCTGGCGCGGTCCAGGCTCCCACGGGGAACGGGCGTTACCTGTGTTGGTCTCAAAATTCACCCGCCCCCTCATGGTGTTGAAAACTGACTCCGGCTGCTCAAAGATCTCCTTCTGCATAAACGCGCTGAAGTTGCCTGGTCAGACAGACACCAGTAGGAAGGGTCAGTTGGGTTTGCTCGCATGTCCATGGCTTACCTTTCACCAGGAGGAAGTGCGATGCACAGAGCCTGTGGCAGGGTTCCACAGGCACCCGGGGACTTCTCCCGCCTGGTGTTCCACGGACAAGTCGGAGGGAGTAGGGCAGGTGCGACTGTCCCCAGGGTACTGTGAGCCCCACGCCTGAGCCAGGCGGGATCTGCCCAGGGCATGTCAGCAGCAAGTGGCCCGGCTGGTCCTCCTGGGCCATGCTCCCCTGGCGAGGCCAGAAGGGAAAACACTGTACTTCCAAAACACCACCCGCTCACAGAGGAACACAGCCAGCAAGCCCGGAGACAGGCAATTTCTTTTCAATAAATGCCCTCCCAGCTTCCATAATAAAGTAAACCCAGCCGGGCACAGAGTGATCACCCTGTAATCCCAGCACTTTGGGAGCTGAAGCAGGAGGACTGCTTGAGCCCAGGAGTTGAAGACCAGGCTGGGCAATATAGCAAGACCTTGTCTCTACAAGAAATAAAAAAAGTCAGCTAGCCCTGGTGGCACACACCTGCTGTCCCAGTTATTCGGGAGGCTGGGGTGGGAAGATGACCTGTGGTGAGCTGGGATTGTGCCACTGCACTCCAGCCTCAGTGACTGAGTGAGACCTCAATTAAAAAAAAAAAAGCCAGCTGGGCTCGGTGGCTCAGCCTGTAATCCCGCGCCTTTGGGAGGCTGAGGT